TCTGTCTGTCTGTCTGTCTGTCTGTCTGTCTGTCTGTCTGTCTGTCTGTCTGTCTGTCTGTCTGTCTGTCTGTCTGTCTGTCTGTCTGTCTGTCTGTCTGTCTGTCTGTCTGTCTGTCTGTCTGTCTGTCTGTCTGTCTGTCTGTCTGTCTGTCTGTCTGTCTGTCTGTCTGTCTGTCTGTCTGTCTGTCTGTCTGTCTGTCTGTCTGTCTGTCTGTCTGTCTGTCTGTCTGTCTGTCTGTCTGTCTGTCTGTCTGTCTGTCTGTCTGTCTGTCTGTCTGTCTGTCTGTCTGTCTGTCTGTCTGTCTGTCTGTCTGTCTGTCTGTCTGTCTGTCTGTCTGTCTGTCTGTCTGTCTGTCTGTCTGTCTGTCTGTCTGTCTGTCTGTCTGTCTGTCTGTCTGTCTGTCTGTCTGTCTGTCTGTCTGTCTGTCTGTCTGTCTGTCTGTCTGTCTGTCTGTCTGTCTGTCTGTCTGTCTGTCTGTCTGTCTGTCTGTCTGTCTGTCTGTCTGTCTGTCTGTCTGTCTGTCTGTCTGTCTGTCTGTCTGTCTGTCTGTCTGTCTGTCTGTCTGTCTGTCTGTCTGTCTGTCTGTCTGTCTGTCTGTCTGTCTGTCTGTCTGTCTGTCTGTCTGTCTGTCTGTCTGTCTGTCTGTCTGTCTGTCTGTCTGTCTGTCTGTCTGTCTGTCTGTCTGTCTGTCTGTCTGTCTGTCTGTCTGTCTGTCTGTCTGTCTGTCTGTCTGTCTGTCTGTCTGTCTGTCTGTCTGTCTGTCTGTCTGTCTGTCTGTCTGTCTGTCTGTCTGTCTGTCTGTCTGTCTGTCTGTCTGTCTGTCTGTCTGTCTGTCTGTCTGTCTGTCTGTCTGTCTGTCTGTCTGTCTGTCTGTCTGTCTGTCTGTCTGTCTGTCTGTCTGTCTGTCTGTCTGTCTGTCTGTCTGTCTGTCTGTCTGTCTGTCTGTCTGTCTGTCTGTCTGTCTGTCTGTCTGTCTGTCTGTCTGTCTGTCTGTCTGTCTGTCTGTCTGTCTGTCTGTCTGTCTGTCTGTCTGTCTGTCTGTCTGTCTGTCTGTCTGTCTGTCTGTCTGTCTGTCTGTCTGTCTGTCTGTCTGTCTGTCTGTCTGTCTGTCTGTCTGTCTGTCTGTCTGTCTGTCTGTCTGTCTGTCTGTCTGTCTGTCTGTCTGTCTGTCTGTCTGTCTGTCTGTCTGTCTGTCTGTCTGTCTGTCTGTCTGTCTGTCTGTCTGTCTGTCTGTCTGTCTGTCTGTCTGTCTGTCTGTCTGTCTGTCTGTCTGTCTGTCTGTCTGTCTGTCTGTCTGTCTGTCTGTCTGTCTGTCTGTCTGTCTGTCTGTCTGTCTGTCTGTCTGTCTGTCTGTCTGTCTGTCTGTCTGTCTGTCTGTCTGTCTGTCTGTCTGTCTGTCTGTCTGTCTGTCTGTCTGTCTGTCTGTCTGTCTGTCTGTCTGTCTGTCTGTCTGTCTGTCTGTCTGTCTGTCTGTCTGTCAACTGTCAACTCAAATAAACCTCAATTATTGCGACACCGCACAGCTGTATCGAGTCCCACCCGATAAAGGTAACAAGGTGGCGGATAGAACTGGGATGGCTGCAATACAAGTTATGGGCAGATACCCCATTCAAGAAGAAGGTTTCGTGATCACCAAAATTTACGGAATATTCAAATGCAGTTGCTACTGACCCGATGGACGATGGAGCAGTCCCACGAGACGCTGGTTGGATTTACCAAAGAGCTGATCGGACGAAGACCGGTAGTCATCGGAGGAGACTTCAATGCTTAGGCAGTGGAGTGGGGAAACAGATGTACCAACGCAAGAGGGCACATTTTGCTGGAAGCTCTGGCGAAGCTGGAAATTAGGCTGTTCAGTATATGCACCACCAGCACTTTTCGCAGAGATGGCCGGGAATCCATTATCGAAGTCACTTTATGCGGACTGCAGTCCGTCGCTGGTCGAAACATGAATTGGAGAGTGTGTGAAGGATATACCCATAGTGACCATCAGGCAATCCGATATGGCATCGGTCAACGGAATACTGTGACAGTACAGAGGACGAGAACTTGCGACCTGAAGTGGAAGACGAGTTGACAGAATCGTTAGGGAGAGCATGTGACACGACCATCCCGAGGAAACTGGAGCTAAATAACAGACCGCCTCCAGCTTACTGCTGCAACGAGGCAATTATCACCCTCCGCGCTAGTTGTCTCAATGCCTGCAGGATACACTCGGCAAACTCTTGGAGAGGATCACCCTATCCAGGCTAACGAAATGCACGGAGAGTGAGCAAGGATTGTCGGAGAGGCAGTTCGGATTTCGAAAAGGAAAAGCAAAAGTGGATGCAATTCAAACAGTTGTCGAGAGAGCCGAGAAGGCGTCGCAACAAAAATGGAGAGGAGATCGATATTACGTCGTGATAACGATCGACGTCAAGAATGCGTTCAACTGCTCCAGCTGGGAGGCCGACGCTACTTCCAGAACTGGGTTCTGATCTACGAGTCAAATATGGGACAGAGATCGATTAGGATCACGGTGGGAATTCCACAAGGCTCCATCCTTGGTCCAACGTTCTGGAACGTGATTTAAAACGCTGAAGCTACCCAAACGAGTTGAGATCGTTGGCTTTGTGGACGACGTCGTCTTACGGTGACAGGAAAGACGCTGGAATAGATGGAAATGATGTCGACCGAGGAGGTCGACATGATTGTAAACCTAATGCATGGAGTGAAGCTGCAGATATCCCACAACAAATACAAGGTGGTATTGATCAGTAACTTTAAAGCGCTGCAGCGGTCAGAAATTATTGTTGGGGAGCACGCAATAAACTAGAAGTGGGCGTTGAAATGCTTGGGAGTGATGGTCGACGACCATTTGGCTTCAATAGCCACGTAGAATACGCCTACGAGAAGGCAGCGAAGGCCATCAACGCGGTAGCCAGAATCATACCGAACATCTCGGGACGGCTCCTGGCTAGTGTATTTACGTAGATACTGAGATGTAGAGGTTCAGTCTTGGTTGCAGCACTGAAAACCAAGCGGAATTTAAGGGAATTGAACAGTACGTACCGGATCAACAAACCGTACGCAAACTTTTCGAGACGTTTGGTGTACATTTTGTTGTAAGACTGGTAAACATTTATCATTAATTCCATTAATAGAGGATAAATCGTGGTTAAACTTGATTTCAAAATCATTTTGATGGTTAAAATATTGAAAAACAAAATTTCCCGATTTTTTCAGCTTCCTGTTCTTATAAGCCTAAAATTTCGGAAGGGGCTGACAAAAAAGGGAAAGTACTGTATCACACACTTATAAATAACTACTTTTACATGAGACGTAGTCCATATTGAACGTAAATCATAGAACGTAAACAAACATTTCATGTAACATTAAGTGTTCTCAAACCGAAACATCAGCTAGTCGACGAAGAGACCATTTGATTGAATTGATTTTCACATTTCTTTCGACTAATTCTTATGTCAAAAGGCCCGCTTACATGTGTCGGTCTCAGTGAACCGAAAGTTACGTGACTTTTTAGTAGTGTGCAGGTTCGTCCTTCACGTATGGATTCAGCAAGTTCCATTCTATTAAATCCAAGCATAAATTTCATACGATAGAACCATAATCCATCCTGGCTTCAAAAAAATCAACTATCACGTATGAACTCACAAGGGTGAAGCGGTAGCGTCACCGGTGGTGTAGTGGTAAGCGTGATTACCTCTCACTCCAGCAGGCCTGGGTTCAATCCCATTCGACGCCGCCGGGATGTTCTGAGGCATAACATCTCTGATCACGCCTTCCTTCGGAAGTAGCCATTGGTCCCCGGTTCATGAGTTGATGATTTGATAGGTAGGGTCCAGAGGTGTGAGAGCTGCCTCCCTGGCGTCGGTAGCATTGGTGGTCAGCACGGAAAACAAGATTGAAGGAAAACAAATCAAGACAAAAATGTCTGTTGATAATATCCGTGTGTCATCTTATATGTTTTCTACTGAGTCTTTAAAGCAGTTCAGGAAACAAATCTCATCGTTCTGTGTGAAGTCATTCTGTACAATAACATCTTGGCACAATGAGAAAAAAAAAGCAAAAACTCGGGACTCATAAATTTTACCGAGCAGTTCAACACTTGAAAGTGTGATAAATATGATCGAAGTCGATGATATTAGCAAAAGTGCATAGCAATGGTTGCATAATTCTATGAAAGACCTCTCACTTACTTAGCGAATGCTTAAAACAGGCGAAAAAAAAGTCCTAACGATCCTTCACTCAAGAGCCCCCAAAAGAACCGAATTGTTATGACCACTCATAAATTTCTACGCGCTGTGTTTAGCGCCCTGAGACACGCGCATACATATACAGTACCTCTCAAAATTGAGCGTACAGCTGTTGTTAATTTTTTAGAAAAATAGATCTACGAGCTAAATGGTGGTGAAAGATAGATTTCTGAACTAACATTCTTTGGTTATCAGTAAAGTATTGGGTACTATTGGTTTGAGTATGTTTCTTCCCTTCTTAACTTAGAGCTATTTTAGAAAAATGCAATTTTAAAATAATAAAATTAATCTTGAAATTCAATAAAGAAAACTTTCTGATTTTTTTTTTCGATTGTAGTTATAACAATATGAAAGATATACCGCTAATTTATGTCCAGTACGAAAAAAGTTGCAAATCGAGTGTTCTACTAAAGTTTATCAAACTTCATACCGGATCATCCAATAAAGTCCAAAACTTTATCGATAAATCAATAAATAGTTGTTCACCCACCAGTGCTTAAAAAAAATATTCATTTAGGTGTACGCTTAATTTTGCGGTCCACTGTATGCATTTCGCACAGGTTCCATACATTCCATTCCATTGTCGTCATCGCCTTCATCACCGCAGCCAGCAGTGAGCAGACAGGAGGGAGGGAGGTGGCATTTTGCATCGACAGCAGATGAAAGTGAATCTCTCCGTCGCCTGCAGCAGCTGATTGCTTTCGGATGGGTCCTTAACGCAGTGAGTGGCATTTTTGAGGCTTATATTGTAGGTAATGAATTAAAATTTTTATTTTCGATTTTTCACTGAATGTACATAACATAAGTTGTCCATTATATAAGTATGCATTAATAGTAATTCAGCATTCTTAAGCCGCAATCAATAGTGTTGTCTGGAGAAAAGAGCTTTTGCAATTGAGTTTACTTGGTTGGAAAAATTTCAGCGGTGTGATTACAATTAATCAGATTTAAAACATGTTTTTGTTATTCAATACTGCAACATTCAAGTCAGCAATTTTGGATGGTTTTTTGTTTGCCTTTTTTGGTTAATCGAGAAATAAGAAATAAATTTGCGTTGAAGTGGTTAATCTGTTACTCAATGAAACGATTTCTTTCATTCCACTACGAACTATGGATCACTTGCAATTACTGCTGATTATGATATATCTGATTTTTCACCTTTATTTTACTTTTCAGTTTGTTCATTTTCTTTAAGATTTCATCATCTGGGTTGAATGTTCTGGCTCTAAACAATAAATTACAGTTACGTTATGTATATATATCTAGTATATTTAACCGTTAAAAGTCAGTCATACTGTACAAGTACACTATTTTCCTCGACACTAGATTCAAACACCTCGTAGCATCTGCTCCTGGCTTGTTCTAGCTGAAATTGGTCTGTCCTCATCAGGATTCATTTGAATCGAATTTGACTTTTCCGTTATTTCCTGTCGAAAATCCTTGTCAACTGGATAGAGAGGAATCATCAAGCTTAGGTACCATACATATTCTTAAGCTAGTAATGACGACTGCTGCACCATTATCACCACATTTCACATCACCATCATCAGGCTACTGTTTCCTTTTCCACTACGCTAAATATATGGGAGCTTCGGGAGGATTGATCACTTCTCTGCCCGACCACCGTGGGTTGCAAATAAGATTTCGATAAATTATAAAACGATAATACCGAAAGAGAGTAGCCGTTGCAAGAAATATTTCTACGAGAAGAGAGATACTGAACGGCGCTTCACAGAGTTCCAAGCATTTCGGAGAGCTCGTCTCAATTTATAGTCTTGATAAGAGAGTGACCCTAGCCATTGCAACACATCGTCGATCGGCCGGAAGCGGACGAATCGCACTACTATGAGGAGATTCCCACCAGTGTATGTACATTTCATTCTACAACAATGTTCTGTTACTCTATCTTACGGAGATCTGTCACCTAGGGAGAGAACTCCTCTATGTTCTTTTGTTTTCTTTTTGGGAGGAAGGCAGTGGGAGGAAGATTAATCTCTGAGGATTACGGATACTGATTAACACATTTCATATCATAGACGCTCTATGTTCCTATCTTAAATGTACCGCCCAGATACGGAACTCTACCCTACATATCACTACAAGCTATTTACAGTATGTCTAGTGAAGCATTCTGTAGAGTGATACGTACAGCCGAACAGACTCTGGACACATCAACTTCTAAATCAAACTGATGATCTTGCTGGTGTCCTTGGCCTTGCTCAGGGTGTCATGTCATGCACGGCCAAAGATGGCCGACACGTCACCGGTGCTCTGGGAGTGGGGCATTCCTCCATGGTGGTGCTGATGGTGACCCACATGGTGACTCGAGGGATACTTGGAGCTGGAGGTTATCGTCTGACTGCTGCCGTGCTGTTGGTTCATGATCGTACTGATGCCATTGTGATTGTTGTTATTGTTGTTGTTATTGATGTTGCTGTTATTGTTGGTACTACTGCCACTGCTGCTGCTGATGTTGGTGCTGCTGCTGCTATTGTTGTTGGACGAATTCAGCGTCGTCTTGCGGGCGTGGTACAGTCTATGCTGCGAGTACTGTTGTTGTGCTGTTTCCAGATCTGTTGCTAGAAATACGGAGAATAGAAGAGAGAAAGTTCAATTATAATACTTGGGTAACAATGTGGTGATAGTAAACGAATCTTCCAGAAATACAGATGTTTCTGACGAAGGACATATTCAATCAATATTGAATGATTACATATGAACCATGCATGCAAACGGATAATAGCCATTCCAACTTTTGAGACAAACAACAATAATGGACATTATGAATGAGAATAACTTTGACTTTTAAATTACACGATGTAGGCCAAGTCATTTGAAAATCTTATGGAAAATTAGCTAATGGAGATACAGATTTGAAGTGGATATTGATATTTTTGAAACGATAGCTGGTCAAAGAACATGTGATTGGATGGAGAAATACAGTTTATTTGAAAGATTGTATGACAAACGTCGAATGACAAAGGTCATATGGTCCAAGGTACAAATAGTCGAATGATGAGAAGGGAGACGAAAGGTCGAATTATGAGAATGGGGTCAACAACTCGAATGGACAAAATGTCGAATGACAAAAGGTCTGAGTTTGAATGAATTTTTAAGTGTCTATATTTGTAAACATTCCAGAAGTATGCATGTTTCATAAAAAAAATCTAGCTAGGACATTTTGAGATATTTCAGTTTCTAGTTTTTTTTTTGTTGAAATCTCTAAACTCATTCTTTGTATATTTTTTACACAAATTTCATATTTTTCTACAACTTTGTCTCAAAGAACATTTCGATCAGAAGTGCCGCGCAACAATTTTCTGAAAAATTTCAAAAACGTTATTTTGAAAATTTTGCTAGATCCAAATTGGCCGAATTTTAGCAAAATATGAATCATTGTCCATAATAATTAATTATGTAAATTTTCATGCAAATCAGAGAAGGTCGAGTTTTTCCGATTAGTCATTTGGCGCGGACCTTCTCCAATGTATTAAATGTGTTGCTGGATCATTTCGTTTCAATGCCGTTTGACCACCGTCTGTCAGTCACTATCAACAGTGGCTTACACAAGACGTAGCGGATATGATTTTGATATTTAGTCAATGGATTGCTATATCTCATTCAGTTCTTTTTCTCAAATTATTTTTCTTCTCTAAAAAATGCACAGTGAGTGAGACCAGAACTTGGACAATAGCTTACTTCCCTTCCAAAAGAAGGTGTGAACAGAGATTTTATGCCTCAGAAAATCACGACGACAACGCCCTGGCCCTTTGGGGTGAGAGGCAAATATGCTCACCACTACATCACCGGCGTCACTAACGTTTTTGAATTCTGATGTTATTGGAACTGCCCTAAAGCTCTCTAATCTTTTTTAATATTCTCTAGACTTCTCTGAATTTCTAAGAAGTTTTTTTTTTTAATTCTAGAAGTTGAAGCTTTACAAGCTTTTTTGAAGCACACGGAACATCTTTTAAAATGTCTTAACTTTCCAAGCATTTCAATCAAACGATTTGCAGGCTAAAAGCAGAACAAGGCTGTTTTGGCTGCACAAGGCAGATCTGCAGCTAAAATTGTTTGTCCGCTAATAAATCCGGAACATCCGTAAAAGTGGTCAATTCATGAAACTGATCCTAGAGCTCCGCGGTTTTTTATAAACCACTCATAGATGTCTAATTACAATAAATTCGGAGCTGTGACCAGAAAATGGACACTGGGGACAGTGGGATGGCCCACTTAAAGATCCGGAACATCCAAAAAAGTGCTCAATTCATGAAACTGATCCTAGATTTTCGTGGTTTTTAAGAATGCACTCATAAACGTATTATCACAATAAATTCAGAGTTGTGTTCGGAAAATTCATCCTGGGTACCATTGTATGGCCCACTAAAAATCCGGAACATCCGTAAAAGTGATCAATTTATGAAACTGCTCCTAGAGCTCCGCGGTTTTTTATAAACCACTCATCGACGTCTTATCACAATAAATTCGGAGCTATGACCAAAAAATGGACACTGAGGACCACGGGGTGGTCCACTTAAAGATTCGGAATATCCGTAGAAGTGGTCAATTCATGAAACTGATCCTAAAGCTCCGGGGTTTTTTTTATAAATCACTCATATATACTCAAATGGACACTGGAGACCACGGGATGGTCCACTTAAAGATCCGGAACATCCGAAAAAGTGCTCAATTTATGAAACTGATCCTAGAGCTCCGTGGTTTTTAAGAATCCACTCATAAACGTCTTATTACAATAAATTCAGAGTTGTGTTCGGAAAATTCATCCTGGGTACCATTGTATGGCCCACTAAAAATCCGGAACATCCGTAAAAGTGATCAATTTATGAAACTGCTCCTAGAGCTCCGCGGTTTTTTATAAACCACTCATCGACGTCTTATCACAATAAATTCGGAGCTATGACCAAAAAATGGACACTGGGGATCACTCATATATACTCAAATGGACACTGGAGACGGGATGGTCCACTTAAAGATCCGGAACATCCGAAAAAGTGCTCAATTCATGAAACTGATCCTAGAGCTCCGCGGTTTTTAAGAATCCACTCATAAACGTCTTATCACAATAAATTCAGAGTTGTGTTCGGAAAATTCATACTGGGTACTATGGGATGGCCCATTAAAAGATCCGAAACATCCGTAAAAGTGGTCTATTCATGAAACTGATCCTAGAGCTCCGCGTGTTTTTCCAAACCACTCATCGACGTCTTATCACAATAAATTCAAAGCTGTAACCAGAAAATGGACGCTGAGGACTACAGGATGATCCACTAATATATCCGGAACAACCGTAAAAGTGGTCAATTCATGAAACTGATCCAAGAGCTCCGTTTTTTTTTCAAAACCACTCATAGACATCCTTTAGAATGAATTCGGAGTTTTGTTTGGAACATGGACACTGGAGACCACGGAATGGTGAACTAAAAAATCCGGAATATCCGAAAAAGTATTTTTCAAATTTCATTTTTTAAATCCTGTTGATCCTAGAGTCAATTCATTCGTGATGTGTATAGCGGAGATTATTTTTTTTGCACTATTTTTTTGTTGTCTTGTGTCTTGTGGCCAATTTTAAGATTTTTTGTTTGTTTTGGGGTTACTTTGATAATACTCGATTAATGTAGAAACAAAACATGCGCGAAACATTTCAGTTCAACAAATGTGAAACTTTGAATCAGTGGAGTCAATATACCGAACACAACTCCGAATTCATTCTGATAACATGTCTATGAGTGGTTGCGTAGAAACCAGCGGCTCATTTTAAAGAATTGACCACTTTTACGGATGTGCCGGATCTTCTGGAGGACCAATGCGTAGTCCCCAGAATCCATATTCCGAACACAACTCCGAATTTATTATCATAAGACGTCTACGAGTGGTTTTTTTTAAACGCCAAGCTCTAGGATCAGTTTCATGAAATGACCACTTTTACGGATGTTCCGGATCTACCGGTGAACACTACCGTGGTCCCCATGGTTCATATTTTGGTCACAGCTCCGAATGATTTCTGATAATACGTCTATGAGTGGTTTAGAAAAAAAACACGGAGCTACAGATTCAGTTTCATTAATTTGACACTTTTACGGATGTTCCAGATCTTTCGATCGACCATTATACGGTTTGCAGGGTTCATATTTCGATCACAACACCAAATCCGTTCTGATTAAACGTTAACGAAGGGTTTAATTACGGATGTTCCGGATCTTTTAATGGACCATCCCGTAGTCCCTAGCGTCTATATTCCAGTCACAACTCCAAATTCGTTCTAATAAGACATCTATGAGTGGTTTCGAAAAAACGTGGAGCTCTAGGATCAGTTTCATGAATTGACCACTTTTACGGATGTTCCTGATTTTCCGGAGAACCATCCTGTAGTCTTCAGCAGGCTTCCGGAAATCTTATTCGTATAAAAATGCGACACCGAGCTGTGAGAAGAAGCAACGCATGACTCTCAAATCCATGGTGTGCTACATAAATTGGCGTTGACGGCGACTCTGTAACTCTTTACTCCAATGGTAAAATCCATAAGCAAACGTCAGACTGTGCGTGAAAGATTGCGGACTTCGTACTATCCTTTCACTCCACTGAAAATTCCCATAATAAACTGTCAATCTTTGCTAGAAGAGACGATTTTTCAGCGGTGCCGTCAACGCCAATTGCACAAAAGAGAGACCAGAACGATACGCGCGACCGAGATGGAAATATGACAGGTGGGCAGGAACTCACGGTCTCCCAGTGTTGGTGAGTTCTTTGCCGTTAATGTTCACGAAAAGTTCACTATTTTGCCATACAGAAATTCAAAAAAAAAATGGGCGGATTTGGACAGTTTTTGACCAGAAGGTGTATGCTGGTCACAAATGCCGTGCCAAACTGATTTCCTACGTAATTAATCAGCCTTTGATGTGAATTTCGCTAATAAACACGAGGAGCATTTCTCATAGCAAAACTTGCCATTACAAATGGGCATAGTTCATTTTAGTAAACAAACTAACACTTCTTCCTACTGTGTCACCTTTCTATTTCCTGCCTAGGCAACAAACAAATTCTAGCGTTTCAAATTCATTTTTTTTTTCTCTCGTCGCATTGCTCTCTCAATGCGACGCATGTATTCAATCACATGCGACTTTTGCATTGAAACATCTCAATGCACTCTCTCAGGGTGCCATCGCCGTGCGCTGTTTCGCATGGCCATCGGTCCCATCATATGTGATGTTGTCGGGTGACGAGAGAAGGGACTGCAAGGGTTTGTTCACAGAAGACTTGTGTGCCCTTTTCACATGTGGCTTTGAAATGGGGTGAAGTTTTTAGATGGTTCCAGAAATATCTTCTAGTATAGATTCATGCAGGCTCGTTAAAGGACACATGGTTCCAGAGATATACTGGAACCACCGTAAGATAACCACTCCTAGGAAGACGCAATTGCTTGTCGAAAGGATGCTAAATGAAGGTAAAGGAAGACTAAGTGAGCGGTGGCTGGCAACCTTACGGTAGTTTGGATACCGTTAGCATGGTAGCACCAAAAAAACCGGAATATCTCTGGAACTTATGCGGAAATCTTCTAAAATACTCCCCCTCAGCCAATGACTTTACACGCAGGAACTCATCACTGTGATTGCTGTTTGCCGACACCTTGGCAAATTGATCAGCAAATTAAGAAAAGCGCATGAGCTTCGCTTCACGCGACGTCGCATGATACTCGTTCTCATGAAACGCATACATCCGGAAATGTGCTGTGCTTACAAAACAGTGCGACACAAAGACATTATGAGTATGTGAGATGCGACAAAACTGAAGAGAGAGAAACAGAGTGCTACAAATCTTTTGCGCATGAGACTGCGTCTCGCATACGGTAGCGCACGCACTGGAAGCCTGGTCTTCAGAGTCCAAATTCCGGATATAGCTCAAAATTAATTGTAATAAGACGTCTATGAGCGGCTTTGAAAAAAGACGCGGAGCACTAGGATCAGTTTCATGAATGGACCACTTTTAAGGATGTTCCGGGTCTTCCGGAAGATCATACTTGTGACTTTCAGGATGAAAAGTTTTCCCAAACGGTGGTCATTCATCTTGTTAATAACTTTTCAAAAGACCCCAGACTGTAACTTGAATTTTCAAGAAGTTCTCAAAACTTTCTTAATGAATGATCCGATGACTTTTTGCGATATTAATCAAGCTTCCCTAATCACCCTCTTTTCTCAAAAAGTTTTGTCAGATTTCCCATAGTCAGTTTTTACTATTTTCCTAAAATTATTGGAAATGCTCTGAAGCCTAATGATCTTGCTTGCAGTTCTCGAAACTAGCAACGCCGGTGGTGTCGTGATAAGCGTGACTGCCGTTCACTCCAAAGGGCTGGAGTTAGCCGCCGTTGGGATTTTCTGTGGCATAAAATCACAAAATTAACGGAAAACAAATCAAGCAACAAAAAAACAAAGTTCTCAAATCGGCTAAAAAAATCATGGAGATCTCGGAAGTTCTCTTGTTTTATTTCTGAAATTATTGGGACTGCCTTGATGTTTTCTGATCTTCAAACAAATTTTTGCCACGAAGTTATTGGAAATTCAAATTACATTATCGCGTGATTTTCCGATATTCATGGAACTACTGTGAACTCTCGGAAATTTTCTAACTACTTTGAAAGTCCTGTCATTTCATTGAAGTACATTGCTCTTCCCTGAGGTTCTCTGATCTTCTCTGGCGTTATTTGAGCTTTCTTGCAATTCTCTTGAAGTTCTCTTGAAGCTCTGAGATGAATGGAAAATGCCGGAAATATGTTTAAACATCGTTGAAGTTCTCTGGACTACCAAGAAGTTCCATAAATATTTCTGAAGATTTTTAGACTAGCATGAAATTTTCGGAACTTCCTAAAAGTTTTCGAAGTTTTCCAAATAATTTCAGAAGTTAGCTTGTATAATATTATAATTGTAGCCAGGGCTGGAATATGTCATTTTCAATGAAAGATCTCACACGATATTTACAGAGATACTTCTGTCACTATCATGGGATGAGAAAACGATGATAGAGATTTTCTTCAAAATCTCATCGAAATTTTTGTCATGACAGAACGTGGCAGTGTTGTGATCATCGTAATTAGTAGCTCATTTATTCCTATTAATGTTACTAGTACCGAGGAAATCTTAATTGTATATTCACTCTACCGATTACATACTGGCTTCAATTCATCTAAATCAGTTAGAAATGCTGATGGCAAAACCGCATAAGAATTATTCTCATGAGTGTTTGATCATTGGCAAATGACAAGAAATCCAATAATAGGTAGTTTCGTCTCATGATAGTGAGAGGACCTGTTTTCTCATTGTCACATGACGGCCGTGATATTTACCAGCTCTGATTGTAGTATGCTACAGTCAATATAGATTTATCTTTAAACTTGGCATCATTCCTTCTTTCAATCAATGTGTTTTGTTACTTCATACGTGAAGTTTACGATTTTCAGAGTTGGGAGGAAATGCTACACATTAATGACCCGATTTTGTCAGCCCCCTATTCGGAAATCTTTTGTATTGGTCTACGAAACCCATGCGCTTTTTCAATTGTCTATATCTATACCTTAAACGTCAATCTTGAAGATGAATAAGAAAGATTTGTAATTATTGTTATGTGAAATTATCGAAAGATAAAATTTTGATGCTTGAAGCTTAAGTGCGATAATGTATTAGCTAGAGAAAGCTTTGAACGATTGATAGTTCCGTTAGAGTACGGTAGTGTGAAAATTGAACAGTAGTTGAAATTGAGGGAAGGTCATTACAATACTAATCAAATGCGCACTCCTTAACCGCTCACTCCTTGATAGGTGAGGGGATTTGAGGTATTTCCTCAAATCCACAGGCAAAAGAGTACGAGTTTGACTTGTGCATATACTGTCTGTGACTGTGAAATAGTCCCCACGTTGCCGAAAGCATTATCAGGCGATGGTATGTTATACTGCAACTCTTCTTTTCCCTACTATTGTTTGCATCTCTCGTCATGACCAACGTAGTGAAAACTCACCAAATGGAACAGCCTAAGTGATTTTCAGGTGGATCCAGACATATCTTAGGTTTTGTCCAACTTTTTTATGGAGGCCCACCATTTTATAATGCATTAGATTGTAGTCACCAGAGATAATGTTTAATTGATATAAAAATCACATAAGTACAGAATGAAAAAGAATCAGTAGTCATTATTTTCCAATTTCTTCGTAATAGTAGATAATAGGTCAAGCTGTGATAAAATTTCAGGCCATGCATTTGATTAAGTTTACTGCATCAATAATATGCATCTGAAATCAAAATACGTAACAAATTGCCAAAATGTGATACTGGTAGACAAATGCTTAAAAAAAGATGAAAATTATGAATGACTGGCTAATAGGATGAAGAAGAACCACATTCAAAACAGGAAGATAAACTACACGACATATTCCACAAGACTTACAGGTAGCAACATAATAGGATCAGTGAAAGTACGCAGTCAACTCTATAGATCTAGGATACTCTAAGTAAGACAACTACAGCTATCCCCGCCAGAATAAGACGAAGAAAACTTCAAAGGCTTTCATTCATCCCAGCTATGCCCTTTGTGCGCTGTGCAGTGGTGGTGGTGCGGTCTCGTGACTCAGTTGCTTCCTTCCTTCTTTTGGGTGTCGAAGATGGAGATAAGCTCTTTCACGGAGGTGCAACTGATGATCAGCTTCGTTAGCTGATGCTGCTTTTGGCCGGAGCTTTTGCTCGACTCTTTGGACTGCTTCTTTTTGCCTGCACACCACCCAGTCACGCAGTTTCGACAAACGGCGAGTATTCGACAGTGGAAATGTTTCACAAGCAGAAGCACACAAGCGATATAATAATAAAAGAGAAACGGAAAGAAAAGAAGGGGATAATTTAACGTGAACTAGAGAAAAGAGAGAGAGAGTGGGTGGGTGGGAAAGAGAGAAAGAGAGGGTGCAGCAGTGCCAAGCTTTCGTCGGCTGAAGCTTTTTCTTCTGAAGTTCGAATAAGCTACGGACAGAACTTGCAAACAAGATTTTGTGCAATTACCACCCACTGCTTTTTGGGAGGGGTGGTTTGTTCAGTGGAAAGCGTATCTTCGGGAAAGGAAGTGGGATGGACTCACCTTTTACTCGTTCTTTGACGTACCGCTGCCGCTGGGAGGGAGTCTTTATCTCCGGAAGGATTGTATTTGGTGTCATTGGCTGAGATCGTTGCAGTTTTTGCATAAAGCTGAGCTGATTATCACTGTTTTCCTTGGATTTGGACGAGACGTAGGTGGAGGATGCACTCGGCTGGAGCCACTCGTGGCGGGCAGCCTCTTCCGGTGTCATGCGCTTCTTTGGATCCCATCTGAAAATAAGAAGAAGATAGAGATTATTGAGAGCTCAATTTCTGCATTAATAATTTCAAACCGAAAACACGTTAAGACCAGACTCATTATCTACCACAAGGTCATTTATATCCCCCAACTGGCATTACCGTCTCCCTACCCTAACAGAAAAAATAATGGCGGAATACAAAAGTCCATAACACAGCACCACTTTCCCGGAATTCGTATGCCGTGACCAAGTTAATGAGGGAGATAAAAGGATTTTCGTGTTCACATTTTCACACGACACATTTAGTTTTCCATGGATAAATTGCTTTCCGATATCAAACACGTCCAGCACGAAGTGAGTGACCAAAAAGAGCAACGAACGAAACTCCCACCGTAACACAACCCAGTCGTAAACCTAATTGCAGAACGTTTGTGAAATGCGGGAAAATGATCGAAAAATGTTCCTCCAGCTCGTTATTCGGACTTTGCGTGCTGTAACATTGATTCGTTGTTGATGGAAGGTATTGTATAGTGAGAGTTTTCATTCATAACTACTAACATACACAAGCAAACGGACGGTTGTGAGCGGAAGGCGGGTAAGCACGCCGGAAGTGGCCTAGAGTGAACGTGAATAAGTCAAACTTAGGTGGGTATGTAGGTACGTGTATTTCAATACTTTGAAGCTGGTTCACTGTGTGTTGAGTATGTGCTCCCAAGGACGCAATGAACGCCAAACCAACCAACCGACCTGCCAAACGGTTCATGGTTGCTAGGTTGGAGCTCGTTCCTATTGGAAGTTATGGATTGCATGGGATGAAATTTTAATAAGCTGCAACATGGTTCTCTGTGTTGCATAATTTAGTCCGTCAAGCATTCCGACGGTCTTTCAGTATACATTTTGTGGCTTTAGTGTTTATGGGCAAAGTTTAAGAAACATTTTATGACAGTTGCATTCCTGTTATGGAGCTTTAGGGGACTCAAAAAACCGCAAAAATCAACCTTTGGGTTTTGTTTACAGTCCAACAACTTTTTCCTGATGAGATAGAAAATTGCTATTTATGCAACATTTTTTCAACACGAGTTATAGTTTATCCAAAGACGCTTTCTGAGTTGTATAAAATTATCCAACACGGCTTAAATCTTTTTGAGATATTTGGGTTTATAACATTTTTTAGTTTTTACTTAATATAAATAAAAATCATTTTATGTTTATTTTTAACAATAAGATATTATTTTTCTCTACAAATTTGTTCCGAACATTATTTCAATCAGATATGCCGTTTCCGTGTTACATTTTTCTATTTTCTAGGGTGCCATTTTGAAAATTTAAAGATCTAAAATGGTCAAATTTAAGCAAAAATGTGATTATTTGCCGTAAGAAACAATTATGAAAAAAATCAGACAAATCGGAGTGGGTCGATTAAGAAATTCAATTTTGACGAGTGCTGAAAAAAGTAGAAGAGTCCTGTGCCTAAGGCACGAACGGAAGGTTGACGTAGGACCGCTATTGGTCGGTACAATTGTTTTTATCCTTAGTTCTCTAAGTTGATTAAAGTCTATAAACTTAAAACTTTTTAAATATTGGAAATGATGACCTGTTGTGTGAAAAGGGCCAATTCAATATACAAAGTTGAATGAATGGATACCAACAGAAAAATAGTTTACAATAATAGTTATTTAAAAACATATTGAAAATATGGTAATCGGAGTAAAACAGATTAAAATTGTAGATCACAAGCTGAAAACAAATCAGTTGATCCCTGGGGCAGTCCTCAATTACTGGATAAAATTTAACTTGTGGTTTAAATAAGTAAAGTTATCGACTAATCCTGCTATACGCGCGTGATTATTACTGACAGACAAAAAGCTAGATTTTAACAACCATGCACGAAAACTGGTCGATCGATAACACAGGGCTTTTCTTACATGAAAAAAATCATTCAAAATGTCACTTTAAGCTTCGAGTTAAATTTAACATGCCAAATGGGTTAAAGCAGGAGATGGTTTTCTGTTGCAAACAAAAAAAAAATTTAGCTGTTCCAACATGATCAAAAGTTTTGTGAGATATTCCAAATTGAAAAAAAAAAATCAATCGACAAAAACCCCAACTTAAAACTTTACAGCACAAAATTAAACAAATTCTATTCGACTACAGCGTGGTTTTGATTTTGGCAATACAAATTTTGACTGCTTAGCTTTCCACATGTTTTTATAATTGCTAAGCTGATTATCTGATCTTATAAATTATCCGATAAATATTAAATAAAATTGCATAGCTCAAGCAAATTCAAGATATTGGAAACGTGTTGCCAAAATCAGACCCTTACTGCACTGAGAATTTATCGTGGTAAATTGACTAATTTGATATAAGTTTCTTCAGTGGGATCAATAGATAATGATTTTTTTTTTAAATAAAAGCATGTTATGGTCAGGTCGAACACTTTGACAAATGATGTCATGGATCAAAATAATAAACAAATCGGCTACCGGTATTAGTGACAACTTGGTGATTCACTGGTAATCATGAGTGATGCCTTATAACTTCGACCAGCTCTCGACTGCCTGGCTGAACAAGTGGAAGCGATTTGACAGACGTGGTGTATGGATGAAGATTTCCGTTACTCTTCCTGTTCCTCTGTTAAGCGTTATCACCGTGCTCCGACTTGCTCCACTCAGTCCGATGATGGTGTTGGATGCGATTTTCCAAAAGCATTTTGGAACGACGAAAATTGTGGGGGTATGAGAGACGGACGATATTTGTGGGGGTATGAGAGATTAAACTAGCTATATCAGGCATAACATTTGATAACGGCACAAAAGCATTTGTAAACTAACTTTCTAAGGCCCTTTACACGCGAACGAAAATACACCCACGCAAACCAACAACATCATCGGATAGGGGCAACTATCACCTTTCCGAAAGTGGTATTGGTTTGCGTGGGCGTACTTTGGTTCGCGTGTAAAGGGCCTTAGAAAGTTTGTTTACAAATGCTTTTGTGCCGTTATCAAATGTTATGCCTGATATAATTCCCTTTTTCCTTTCAAATTTCTTCCAAGAAGTATACACTACATACACCTCCTCTTGATGAGTGGATACAGGGATCTTATCAGGATGTTACACTTGGTTTTCGTTTTATCAACGTGCTCCGTGAAAATCAGCTTGCTGTCTAGTGTTAAGCCAAGGTAGACTACCTTTTTCGACCATTCCACCACTGTGCCGTTCAGGCAGATCTTATTATTCACCGACGGAACAAGTCTGGGAGATTTAGAGTGTAGAAAGATGATGACCTGGGCCTTTGCCGTGTTGATATGGATCTTCCAGCTGTTGAAATATTCAGACAGGAAGTCTAGGCCTCTCTGATGTTTGGCAGTCAGAGATTCGATCACTATACCCTTGTAGACGATGGATGTGTCATCTGCGAACAGAGACAACGATCCACCATCAGGGAGAGCCGACATATCAGAGGTGAATAGGTGGAATAAAATGGGGCCAAGGATGCTTCCTAGTGGAACCCCGGCACCGACTCGGAACGTCCTGTCCGATAGACAATTATTTATTATCTTCACTAGGAAGATTGGAAGACCGTACTGCTGCAATTTGAACACCAGGCCATCATGCCAGACATTGTCGCACGCTTTTTCAACGTCCAACAAAGCCATGGCAGATGTTTTCGACAAAGACTTGTCCATCTGAGAATGTTTGTTACTCGAGTCAGCTGGTGGACGGTCGAACGACCCTTCCGAAAACCAAACTGTTTCTCGAGTAACAAGTTGTTTTCTTCGGCACATGTTAGGAGCCGGCTATAGACTGCTCTTTTGCACAGTTTTGATAACCCTGAAAGAAGCCTGATTGGTCGATAACTTGAAGGAGAGGACGGATCCTCCACAGGTTTCCAGATGGGTATGACTTTAGCTGACTTCCAACACGAGGGGAAGTGGCCAAGTTCAATAGAATGTGGAATTCAAGTGTTTGAGTTCCAGATTTAGGATGCTGTCGAAACCTGGGGCCTTCATGTTTTTAGATGATTTGATATAGGCCAACAGTTCGTCAGTCGTAATCTTGGATTCCTCGGGAAAAATATTGGGAACCTGATGGAGGTTGGTTGCGTTTTCAGCAACCTCAGCTTCTTGAGGGCTGACGATGTTTTGTCCGAGATTATGAGAGCTGACGAAGTGTTGACCTATCGTGGCAGCCTTCTCTTCAAGAGTTATCAGATGAGCCACTGGGTCGCCGGGACTATCCAGAGGGGTCAGTGGGTGGTCTTGGCTTATTTTAAGGATTTTGGTTAGTTCCCGAAAGGGTTTTGTACAATGTGGGAGAAAACGGATCCTGTTAGTAAAGTTTTGATTTCTGAGGTCCACCATCCGCTGGTATTGCCTTCGAATGGAGCTACGGAGTCTTATAAAGTCTTTGGTAGATCTGTCAAGGTTCAGAGTATTGCTCAACTGTCTGGATACTGGCACGTGTTGCCTGGCCCGGGATATCGCCTCCTCGATGGAATGCAGATACGGGCGTCTCCGGAAGGACACCGTAGTCGACAGTGAAGTTGACACATTGTTGGAACTGATCCCAGCTGACGCGATGGTAGTTGCGTCGGGAAGCTTGGAATCGGTTGACGGATGAGCCCACATTGGCACCACCGGATAGTGGTCTGAACTCAGCTCCTGGTGGGTCACAGGTTGCGAGATATTGTCTCCCATGTTACTGACGAAGATGTCGATGGTAGAGTGTACGCCAGATCGGCTCAAGCGGGTGGGAGAGTCTGGCGCTATTATAGTGAAGTGGGCCTCTTGCAGATCGTCGTTCAGGATTGTGCCGTTTTGATTGTGTCGACTGTTGCCCCAAGCCTGGTGTTTGGCGTTCAGGCCAACCAACGATGATGTACTTCTCACGGCGTCGAGTTAGTTTGATGATGTCTCTCCGCAGGTCTAGTGCCAACCCGTCCCTGATGGTGACTTGTTTGGGACAGTAGGCCGCAATGATGGTAATGGGGCCGACAGGAGTGGAAACTTCCACACCCACCGCTTCGATCATCTTCAGCTGGAAACTCGGTAGCAGTCGACAGCCAATATTTCTGCTTAATGTGATAGCCACTCCTCCTCCACAGGAGCTGGTCCGTTCTAGCCTGACGAGCCGAAAATCGGGGAGGTGAACATTTATCTCCGGCTTCAGGTGTGTTTCGGTGATGACAACGATGTCTATGCTATGTTCCTTGAGCAAATCATCGAACTCAATGATTTTGCTCTTGAGCGAGCAAGCGTTCCAGTTGGCTATTTTAATGGCTTCACGGTTCATACTTTTGAACGAGGGTCATAACTGCACGAAGCTGTTCAGGTAGTGCCTTGGTAGTGCGCAAGATTATGATCACCTCAGTCACGAGGATCACTAGTTCGTCGTTTGTGAGTGGAGACCTGACACAGCACAGGCGTACGATAATCCCGGGGCAGTAGAGCCATGGCTCGGCTGGGCCACAGCATCAGTGAGGCGATGCTAAACTGAACGGTGGCTGGGACCCGCTTGTTCTGATGTTGGATTCGCAACTGGGGGCGTTGGTTTAGTGGAAGCGGTGCTAATTTCGGGACCATACGACGAGCCGGAAGTACAGGAAACGTGTCCTTGTTGACAATAGGAGCACGATTATTGCGGTGGCGACCAGGTTGGTTCCTCGTGGAAGCCTGTTGTCGGATCTGGATGAAGGCCGCTCGCTTGGGACATCTTCTATCGCTGCCCAGATGGTTGGAATTACAGTTCACGCATTTAGGTTCAGCTTCTTCTTCCTTCTTGCAGACGGTAGTGCAAGTAGTGCCCCAGCACATTTGCCACAACGAGCCTTCATGTGACAATTCTTCGTACCGTGCTCAAATGCCAGACAATTAGTGCACTGTGTCACGTCACGGTGCTGCTCCCACTGAATCACGATGTTGAACAGCGCGCAAATCTGTCGCAGAGCAGATGGAGTCCTTATCGAAATGCACCATGTAAAACTGGTCCTGGAATGCACTGGTTTCATCACGTCTTGCAATGGGAAAAATGTTGATTGGTTGCAGATGAAGCTGCTCCAATTCCGAGATTACTCCGCAACAGGGAGATTTGGAAGACCACGGATTACCATTTTCAGTGGTTTTCTTCCAGGGACGTCGTGAGTGTAGAACTCAAACCGGTTCAGCTGAAGAAAGGTGCCAACAGCGTTGTAGTACGCCAGCGTCGAGCACAAGATTTGATCCCCGTGCTGCACAGCTTGAACAGCGGATGGATTTAATTTTTAGCCAGCTCATTCCTGAGCAACGTGAGTTCCTTCGTCGAGGTGAACAGTGGGGGCACTTTTTTCCCGTTTCTCAACTGGATCTATATCTGCTTCTTCGGGAATGCCGAGAACGGATTACTCTGAAGCAACCTTTCCGTGTGGTTGCTGGCACCAGCTTGCTTGCGAGGCCTTTTTGGGGCATCTTGATCGAATGCGGTTACATCCACACTTTGGCGAACCATCACCTTTTGTTTTTTCAACGGGTGAGTGGAGGCATTCAATTGTTGCTCCACTACCGTCGATTTAGCGGCAAGAGAGGCGAGAACTGACGACACGTTGCTAGCCAAAGCGAAAACTCTCGACCTGTACCACGACCGACTTAAAACACCGAACTACTCGAGAGAGCGAGCGAAAAGAGACGACCAAGAAAATCGGATGGTCAAGCAGAGAATGATGATGGTGGAAGCGATTTGGCAGACCTTTTTGTAGACGAACATTTCGGCTGCTCTTCCTCTTCCATTATTCTTGCGTAATCAGTTTTCAACCAGCTCTGGTCAGATCGACTGTCTTGCCAAAAAGCGCTGTGGAAGGCAAATTTGCGCACGAGCTGGAAAGTGATGTCCATGCGAGAGAATTTAGGTTCATTCCATCCGTCCGCTCTTCTGATTAGTTCGTGAAATATTCCTACTTGTACTAAATTTGTGTTTAACAATTTTCACTATTTGAACTATACACTAAAAAAATGCTGAAAAGTGTCTCCGCCTAACGACATATTGCATGACATATGTCCCATTATTGGTTTTGAGAAATATTCGTTTTAAAACACCCCCCATTTTCGTTTCAAACCTCATTTTCATTTCGTAATGTGACCCCCAGTATGGTAAAAAGACGTAGTCCTACGTAAAAAATCAAATTTAGCAACGAGTTGCATATAACATTTTTTGGCACTCAGTGCTGAAAAGTGTAACTTTTCCACATTGTTTTAAATAACATAATAATCTACGTTTCCCAACTAACACAACAGTGTCAAAAAGTACTACATTTCAGCATTTCAGTGCTGAAAATTTCTGCTTTTCGACTTCATCGTAATCGCCCATTTTCGGTCTATCGATCAGAAAAGATCAATAATATCAATAATTTCACCATGCACAAATCAAAAATACGTTTTTTTTTTCCGATGCGTTAGCTCATTAGCTACAACATAAATCCTATTAGAGCACATTGTATGAATATTTACGCTCATTGTTTTCAAAACAAAAGAAGAGCTCCTAGCGAATCACCTTTTTCTACGTTTATCCGTAGGACGAAGAAAATCTAATTGTGTTTCAATGCGTTAGGATGGAATTGAAATTAGTAGAATTAATTTAGGATCAAAAAGCAGTGTTAGATTTTAAACAATATCTCTACAATTTGTGACTCTTTATCAAATCCAAAAAAGGTGAATAAATTTAAATGTCATCTTTTAAAGAAATATTCAATTTTTTGTTCAAACCCACTCAAAAAAAAAAAAGGGTTGTGCTTAGTAGGACGGAAATTAGATCAAAACCCTACAACTCGTTCTAATTACGTTAAATTGAGGTATACCTGTATTAAAAAAAATACAATATCATAGGTTATACCCTTAAATACAAAATGGAACCAATGTTTCCAATTCGGAAATATGTAGTGCAGAGAGTAAATTTTGTCATTATATTCTATTATCAAAGTTACCCGCGTTATCAAAGATACCCCGTTTTACGGTACTAACTAAAAAGAATGCTCACCAAAACTCGCTTCAAAACATTGTTTCCTTTTAAACTTCATCAAACAATTCTCTCAAGCGCAGCCCTGGCAGACCTTGACTCATATACTCGACTTCATACTTCCTCAAATTAATTTATGCTTCCAATTAAGTCTTGGCTATGTACGAGGTCACTAGGCCAGGATACATTTAGTTGCATGATGCCACGGCTAACCACGTTTCCTTTGTAGGTACATTCTTCATTTCTCACCGTGGTGGCGAATTCGCTCTCCGTGAATGAATTAAACCTTCCCTCCGTAGTGTAGGAGGTTTGCACCCATTCTCTTCCATTTCCGCCTTCGATAAAAGCAAGTATGACGCCAGCTTGGTGGCACGTACCCAGTATTTAGCAAGTCAGTTTCGTGAAGTCGCGAAAAAGCCAACTTAGAAGAGTGCACGACAGGGTTGTTCTTCTAGCCATACCATATGAAAATCACTACTTACTCGAGGCATTTGCTGACGAAATCGATGAACGTGGTATCGTTGCAGCGGAGTGCCTGCGAAATGGTCTTCGAGCCCGGTTTCCGCTTGCGTCCTTTGGAATTGGTTATGCACCGTGGAATTCCTCGCGAATCTGGAAGGATGGTGCAATCAAACCAGGTTAGTTGGTTGGTTAGGATTACGAGGGTTGGAGTAGACTTACCGAAAAACAACCTCCTCCTGGTGGCAGTATTGATGAGATCATCTGGAGGAACGCCCAGAACTTCCATGATACACGCTAATTGCTCCACTTCGTTCTCCCCGGGGAACAGCGGATATCCAGTGTACAGTTCTGCCAGTATGCATCCTGAAAATGGAGAAATGCGGGAAATTTAATTAACACGTTCTGTGGTAACAGAATGCGGATTTAACGCATTTCAGATGGAAACGTTGTTATCGCACATCAAGCCAACGAACTGTTGAATGGCCATCAGATTGCGTGGGTGCTTGCTAGGGTCGGAGGGAAAGGACCGAATGGCCTTGCACGGAGGTCGATTCCCTTTATCAAGATCACCACCCGTTAGCACGCACGTTCCATCTCCGGTAAATTTCTATTCGCCCTCCGGTAAAGGGCAAGCACCACCCAACGACCGAGGCCCGATGAGCGGAATGAGTATATTACTGCAATGCGAAAAAGTAGTTTTCTCCATGTTTGTTATTAACACCCCCTATGAGAGTCAGTTCCCAAGTGTGAGACTACAGCGGATGGTGGTTTTCTGTATTCTTTGTGGCTCACGAAGGGTTTCCGTGTGGAATATGTATGTAGACACTACCCATGCACACACCCCGGGCAATTACGGAATACGTAGGTAAGAGCAGCGTACTTCAATTGGACTATTGCATGTTCGATTTAATTATCGCAAAACGGTTGGTCAGACATGAAATGGAAGTTTACGAGGCTCAGCAAATGAACATATCCGGGAAACGAAGTGTTCACTCTAGGTTAACATCCCAAATAAGATTGATCAATGAGTAAACAGATTAAGTGGTGGCAGGTGTAGAAACTGTTCATTTTAGTTTGCTCCACTCTTTGCATTCAACGACACCATATCTTATGGGGTATTATGTCTTAATGTTGTTTGGGCACTTCTACAGTAGTTAAATGAAAGGAAGCATAGACTTACTATTTTTACATTCGTTTAGCAAGCCCAAAGATATATTATTAGGGTGGTTCAAATTATCAATTTTGATCCAACCGCTCAATATATTCGAAATAAGGTTCTGATCATTCTCCCATAATTCGAGCTCATCTGGTTACGATCTCATAACTATCCTGAAGCTCTACTGGAATGTGGTTTTCAGCCAACTTGTAGCTGAGAAAATTTCCTATAAATACAGATATATAATATATATATTTGTTACAATATATTTGTAACACAGTTTGTTATAATTCTCAAATTCATTGCACTAGACAATTAGAAATTATATTTTTCCTGATTATATTGTAGCATAAACATTAATACATGAAAGTATTTAATTTATGTGGTTGGAACAAAATCGATTGATTTTTTTTTACTATAGAGACTTTCAGCCGTTGGCTGGTTCGTCTCTGACTGGAAAAAATAAAAACAAGATGAAGACGATTCATTGATTGCTTATGGATTATTTAGAATACTAATACAGTGTTGGTTGTCCATTTTGTATGGTTATGAGTTGAGATCTGTCTCCCAAACCATTTTTGGCAAATTAAAGACAAATTCAAGTTCAATTTTGATTGCTCATGTCTGATGGTTAGTGTTGGAATTTTCCGTTGATAATATTAATTTTTATATCAAGAAAAAAACATTTGAAAAGGGTACGTCAGCATTCAAAGTACGCAACTGAACTGATATTTTATGTTTTATGGTATCATTGGTTCACGCTATTATTGCTATTAGTTCAAATCTAGGTAAGCTGGTATATCATAAATGTCTTGCAGTGACAATTTTAATTGTATAATGCCAGTTGTGCATTCTTGACCACCAACGTAATATTTTAAAGATTTACGAAATCAATTTATTCTAGATGAGTCGCGCTAGCCCAGTTTTGGAGAATTTTTGTAACAGTTAAGAAGCAATCTAGGTAAACACCGTAAAAGAGAACATCGCTCTCAAGTGGCAGATATTAACTTCCAAGGAGAAACTGTCTACCAGGTAAGACAAAAGGTCCTTCGTCAATCAAATGTGAAGAAAATGAGCTCTAAAAACTGATGATCGGCATTAAAAATGAACCCAAGTAGTATTGCAAGTTTGATATTTTGGAAATTGACTTTCCCAAATGTGGAAATAATTCTTAGGATATTTATTTCAACGCTGACCACCAACTGCTAAAGATAGATTAAAATGAGTTAAGTTGCTAAGTTGTTCAGAACTCCAAGGCCATCTGAAAGGCAGACAGCTTGGTTCAGAGTTCAGTCACTGCATAGCGCTAGTGTGCATGACAAATTTAGTATTATTGGATTTTTTTTATCTCGTAATTCTGACCACCTAGGAAGTTCATTTCATTGGTTCGGATTTCTGTCACTACGTGGCGCTAGTGTGCATGTATAACTGCATCCTAACTTTCTGAAATGATTAAAACTTTTCCGAAGTGATTCAGTATTTTCCGAACTGGTTCAGTGCTTACGGAAATGATTTCAATCTTTCATTAATTGAATCAGTACCTTCCGGAGCAGTTCCGAACTTTACTGAAGTGATCCAGTACTATCCGCGATTCAGTACTTTTCGAAGTGTTTCCGATTTTTTTTTTTTCTGAAGAGATTCACGACTTTTTGAAATTAATCCAAACGTTTCTGAAATGATTAAAAACTTTCTGAAGTGATTCAGTACTTACAGAAGTGTTTAAGTACTTTCAAAAGTGTTTTCAAACCTGTATGAATTGATTAAGTACTTTCCGGAGTAAATTCGAAAATGTATGAACTTTCCTTAAGCTATTCAGTTCTTTCTGAAGTGATTCCAAATTCTTCTTAAATGATTCAGTGCTTTCCAATGTGATGCAGTACTTGCGGATGCGATAACATTCTTTTTTGGAATAAATGAATACTTTCCAAAGTGATTGCAAACTTCTAACGTGATTCAAAACTTTTTGAAGTAATTCCAAACTTTTCTTAAGTGATTCATTTCTATTCGAAGTGTCGAATCCGCATAGCTGTAAACACCCCGTAAACAAAGCGTGACTACCTTAACAACCAGCGACAGGTTCAACGTGGAAATTATTTAAACAAACCACCCCCCTTCCACCCCCTTCCACTCCCTTTAATGCCAACATCAGAAAAAGACGCGTCATTTGAGAAAAACTTCGCTCATGACTACAATGAAAGTATTTTTTGTGCAGAATATGTAAAAAAGGATGGACCTCGGATGCTAATATAATTGCATATATAGAGGTAACAGATATGTTTGACAGTCATACTACGATCAGCACTCGGTGTGGTCGAACGCAAGTATTCTTTTCTCCCGTGCTTTCGCAAGTTTTTTCTCGCGCGTTGTCGAACGTTTTTTCGTTCAACCCAAGCATGGGTAAACCGGGCCCAAGCGGTAGCCAGAAGCAAGGCGGCAAGCGGCCGGCAGATAACAATGTCGATGCCAGACATACGAAGCGGGTGCTAGCCCTCAACCAGTTCTCCAGGAGGATGATGGCGAAAGGCGTGAAAGCGTTGAGAAAAAGGAGAAGCTGCATCCTTTCTATGTCAAGGGACAGCCACGCGAGCTGCTTGACCATCTGAATGTGCTAGTCCGTAAAGGGCTACGGCCGAATTCCGTCTCTGCGCTGATGGCGTGAAAATCACCGTCCCCTCGGAGGTACATTATAAATCCGTGGCGGAGACACTGCAACTCTGGAAGGTGAAATATTTCACCCACGACGTGCCGTCAACGAAGCCCTTCAAGGTCATTCTACGCGGACTGCATGAGCTAGATGTTTCGGTTGTGGAAGAAGAGCTGAAACGCAACAACCTTCAATCCGTGAAGGTTTTCGTGATCAAACGCCACAACGAGGCAATCAAGTATCGCGACCAACTGTGGATCCAAACATGAGGCAGCTTCAAAGCATCCGAACGCTGCTCAGTTTCGTCGTCGAGTGGGAGCGGTACAAGCCGGTCCACCGTGAAGTGACGCAGTGTACCAGCTGCTTGAATTTCGGACATGTCGCTCGCAACTGCCACATGAAATCGTGTTGCTCCAAATGCGGCCAACAACATGTCACTACCCAATGCATCGTGGACATGAAGGACAAGCAGCCAACCTGTGTCAACTGCGGGAATACTCACACATCGACTAGTCGATCGTGTCCCAAGCAGGCCGAATTCCTCGCACTACGGAAGAAAGAAAGCCAGCCGAGACAGCAGAAAAAAAATCACCTACCCGGAATCGATCTGGAAAATGATATTCCACCGCTTCCTCCAACCGAAGGATGCGCACCAAACCTTCCTCTTTTTCCACTGCCCAGAAGGCAGTATAGGAATTCGACGCAAACCGAACCAAGCAGCACTCCTCCAGGATTCCGGGGAACCCAGCCTGGCGCTGTACCGTTGGTCCATCCAACCGATGGTCTGACGCAGGTAACCAGTCATCTGAGAAAGCTTGTCAGTGAAATGCAAAAAATGATGGTGCAAATGTTGCACTTCATGACAAACTTTCACGTTCACCATCAACGCCATTAATTGGAACGCCCATTCAGTGGCGAGAAAACAGCCGGAAATTGTAGATTTCCTGCGCCAACATAACATCGATGTCGCGTTTCAAACCGAGACGTATCTCAAGCCGGAGGTCAACTTTAGCCTGCCAAATCACACAATTGCTAGACTGGACCGAGTTCGATCACAGAGGGGTGGTGGCGTTGCCATTGCCATCAGGAGAGGACTGGAGTATAGGATGCTGCCTGACTTTCGTCTATCGTTCGTGGATGCCATTGAAGTTGAGCTGGCATCGCCGGATGGTCTCATCACACTCATTGCCATCTACTCTCCTACCCAATGTAAGGAAACGGGTGGAACAATCGATAGTCTCAAGAATGACATCCAGAAGTTGACTCTTCGGAAGGGTAAGTGAGGAGGTGATCTCAACGCACGCCACTTGCTGTGGGGCAATTCAAGAAGTAACCAGAACGGAGCAGTTCTGGCCACGGACCTGCAGGCGGGACACTACGTGGTCCTCCATCCTGACTACCCTACCTTCTACTCACCGGACGGTGTCCGATCCACCCTCGGACGGTTGCTCTGAGCCCCGTGCCATTACCGAGCTGTCATCCGACCACCTGCCGGTGGTTTTCGAGATGAATCAAACCATCAACCAACGTCAGCAGCATCGAAGGCGAAACTTTTATCGAGCG